CCTTGTTTTGCTTTGCTTGCTCACGCAGCATTTGCCTTACCTGTTAAACTGTCCTTATCTCAACCCACAAGTTTTTTCACTTTTACTCTTCTGATTCTCTCTCCCATCCCACCAGGGGGAGAGTGAGAGAGCGGCTGTGTGGTGCTTAGTTGCCGGCTGGGGTTAAACCATGACAACAGAACATCTTTAAATCCATTTATCTTCTGCATCACTGTATATACATCTGTGCCTCTTTATAACCCCCAAGTAAGGTTTTTACAAAGCATCATATTGGCAAAAGAAAAACTGCAGCAACTTCTCACCTAAGACTTTCCAAATGCACTGTAAAAAGGAAGTGGTGCCTGAAGTCATTTAAAGTCATCAGAAGTGCACCACAAAAGTGTACTCAGTTCCTAAAGGAATATTTTTATTTCAGGCAATTTTCAAATAGATGTGACTGTTTCAACATGCACTATTGCAAAGGTACATATTTAAAAAAGAGCATCCCAAAATAACCTCACCAAAAATCCTTACAAAAATATGAACTATTCTTAACCAATACTGGTAATAAATTAAAAACATTAAAAAACATAATAATAATAATAATAAATAATAATAGATCAGAAGAACATGATGTAGTTTGTGAAATCAAACATAACATCCCTGTGTTATCCACACAGTTTCCAGCACAAATCCAAAACACAGCCCCATACTGCCCTAAAACCTTAACTCTACTCCTCACGCATCCTGTGTGAAAAGAAGCAACCGGGGAAAAATTACAAGATCAAATATGATTTACGTATCATACAGCAGAAAAGGGCTAAGCAAGATTTTATAAAGCTTTGTCACAGATATGACATTTCTCAACTTTTGAATGGTTGATTTTACATGCACATAAGGTGTGTTTCATAGGGCATGTTTTTGGTCTTTTTTGTTGTTTTTGTCTTTGGGGATGAGGAGCTGCTACATAAATTAGCAGCAAAAGAGCATTATAATCTCGGAGTGGAAAGATCACTTCTTGTTGTATGCTGGCCTTCATGGATGGCTGGAAGAAACTAAGCACAACCCAGCTCCTATTTACAACCATCCCAGAGGACTGACACTTTTATCAGGTGACAAGGAAGTCAGAGAAGTCACAAGACTCCGTTATAATGGGAAATGCTAGGCAACTGAAATGTATTGTATTGAAATGTATTTTACCATATAACTAAGGGCCCGATGTAATTGAAGATGAAACACCAGTTTTCTCTAACTTCAAAATGGAAATTGTTACAACTTATACTTTTATTGAACTACTGAATTCTTGTAACCATCCCTGCTTTCTGTCGCTTCCTCCCTGCCCTAACTAGCTATTATTAATGGCACAGCTAGATATTATAGTAATTTTCTGCCATTCACAAAGCTTCTTTGCCCACTAAGATAAATTCTGTTAACTTGGAGCTTTTTACCATCCAAAAGTTTAATCTAATTATGTCAAAATACTTTAACTAGCATAGTTAATCAGATGCCTGTTTATTGTTATAATTTTCCAGGTAGGCACTCTCGTCTTGTTTAAGCTCCTCCCAAAGTAACCTTAAGTTAGAGTTATTATTGAAACATGCTTAAATTCATGCATTAGCTTAACCCTGTTGCGTGCCATTCTATATCTTCACCACAAAAAGTGTGCTTTTCTGTTGGAATGAAAAAAACCACCTCTAGTTCTCTAGGTGTAAAATCTTAGTGGAGAAGGGCAGCAAAACCAAGTTTTTACCTCAATGTAACAAAATCCAACTTGGCAACCTTTACAAGCTACACTGATGTAAAGACTGTCATCTTAACCACTCAGATTTCACAGCCAGTATCAATAATTAGAGTTTTCAGTACAAAAACAAAACTTCTAGCAATTAAATTATATGCAAATAATAGTTCCAGCCTTTCTGCCTTTGATCATTAAAGCCCAAAACAAATTATGTCTTCACTTTAAGATGTTAACTGGAGCAAAAGTAATCTTTTCTGTCTAATTCTAATTCAATTTCTGAAGTTAAGAGGTGTTTTGTTTCTTTAACATATGTTCATAGCAACAGTGATCTCTTCCAGGACACACATACCGAATCCATAGACTGTTGGTTACTGCCTCATTTTAAATAGCCATATTGCTATAAAACTGTAAGTGTGACTATTTTAAAGCTAGCAGTTATTTTTAACACCACTTGTTCTATCTGGCAAACAAAGAAATGAGATACTGAAATTCTATATGACATTTATGATTTAATACTTTAATGATGCAAGTTGACCAGGATATTTCTCACACCTATTTGTGAAGTTTCTACAAAAACAGTATCACGTGTTTTCCTCAATAAAAATAATGAAAAGGCTCTACATTGTGATACAACACTTCCCTCAAATCTAGTACTTCATCAATGGCAGATCACTTCCAGCAAAAAACTATGCCTGAATATCTTCCAGTCCCAAGCTGGCTCATTTCTGGCCAGCACTGACTACTGAACCTGGGGATGCATTGCTGTTCAAATTGGTACTTAAAGTCATTTTAGGCTTTCTCATGCAAGAGTTTCAGATTCTCCTGTGGTTACATACAACCATTTTGAAGAAAAGTCTCCAAAATATTTTTCAGCAACATATTCATGCAAAAGAAGATCAACAGTGTCCAGTTAAGACAGTTTTGCATCACCTAATCTAATTCTAGAAACTTGCAGCAATTAACTGAAGCATTGAGAAGGAATGTTGGAATGTTCTATTCTAACATCTTTAGATTAGAACTAAACTAATGTTTTTATTTCTATAAATCATGGAAAACTATCAACAGTATAAGCTACTATTTAAAACTTGGCCACTGAAAATGTAATATTTGTCTGACTATAGATAGGTTAGGGAAACAGAGAAAGGTGTTCAGAAAAATCATCAATGCCTAAAATATAGCTTAGCCTGTATCTATGCATCTCCTGTATCTACTGCCTCCTTGAGAGGAAAAGAGTACCCTGTCACAAGTAAAATCAAGAACATTTACTCTCTTCTAGTCACTGTGTAATTTGAACTGGTCGTATTTCAATGACTGTGCAATACATCACATTACCATTTATTCAAGTCAGCCAAATATGGGGGGCTGAAAGCATGGAGGGTGGTAATCTTTACATTCAAATATTTCCCCCTCTGAGGCAATAAACCCTAAGGTTGACTATTATTGTCTAATATTAAAGGAATTTAAAGACATTGTATTTATTCAAATACAGGATCTTGCTTAAGTTTCTTCATAGCAGCATACTCTACATTACACCATTTTGTCAACAAAAATATATTAAACTTTTTACCAATGCAGTTGTTATCACATATGAATAAATTGAGTTTAGAAAACTACCGCCAACTCAGCCATTCACGGCCATATTACTCAAGGTGAAGATTATCTATGCTTAGCATAGAGGGCACTTGGGTCAGCAGCATTTCTCCACCTCTGTGCAGCACGACATGAATGAAGGTACTTCTTCAGGGCTGACATGTTAAAAATTAAGACATTCGTTTTTCAGAACACTGAGCCTAAGCTAAGAAGCCTCGTCAGCATGCAGCCATATCTACAGTGCATTCCAGAAACCAGGAACAGAGCGCCGTGAAAAGAAATTTCAGTAAGGCAGGGAACTCTACCCAGCCTACCAGACCAAATAGCCCTGGCTATGCATGAAAGAGAAAGAATGCACCAGAAGAAACATCAGAACAGGGTTAAGAGGAAAGGTATTCATTTCACTGCTCCAGAGTCCATATGTGTGATTTCATTCAAATGAAGGAAAGAAACAAACTTACCTAAAGATAAGGTAACAAGAATAGGACTAGAACCATAAAACACCCTAGTAAGGAAAACAGAGATTTGTGCAATTCAGTAATTTTTCCTATGATTTATGAAGCAAAATAGCAAGGTAGAAGATCCAAAATGGCATCTGCTCCTAAAGGGTGTTAAAAGGCAAGTCCAAAATCAGTTTCTCATTGCCAAGCAAGAACCACCCAAGAGACACGATGAAGACTCAACTGCCAGTGCCCCTTGCTCTCCATGTTCTACACGGGTGATCCTGGCCAGACCACTTCTACACACATGTCCTGGTGCTTGTGCATATGTCGTTGTGAAAGAGACAGTAAGTGAATTCAGCTCACTTAGATATTCTAAAAATAAACATCACCCTCCCATTCTGTAAAATCTTGTATTGAGCTTTGCTCTTCTCTAGGTTCCTAAAACATATGAAGCCTCTACACTTGTCCCCATGATCCATCCGGACTTTTAGGTCGTGTGTGGTAATGTCCACATACTTAGGTCCAGTCTGACTCTGGCATCACATCCTGCCTAAGAAGCTCTCCCTTCAAGTTCTTGGGAAAGGAGATACCAGAAGTCTATGTTAAAAGCTGTCTGTCTGAAAAGGTGAGAGAAAACACTTTAAATTGTAATTGTACCAATCTATAATGTAACAAATAATTATAAAAAGGGAGATGATCCTACTACTTTACAAGTATTGCTACAAGTTTAGCAGCAAGGCAAGAAAAAAAAAACCTTAGTTAAAAGAATTCATATAATGCAGCAGTCTACTGCAGCTCATCTTCAGCAAGTCCACATCTATCTTCAAGAAGCTGTGCAAATGTTTTCAGCACTTTTAAAACAAGCTCTTCCAGTTACTGCATGCAGAAGTGTAGAAAAGTCACTAGCTGTTCTAATTGGTTTGAACATCATAATAATTGTACTTGTTTGAAGTTGGCAGTGAGGAGTTAATCACCTACAGAACTCTTATTGTGACAGTAAACACTTGGACACCATTAAATAATAACTGTTAAATAATGGCTATATTAGACCAAAACTAAATGTACGTTATTTGTTTAAAGGTTTTTGCAATCTATTTTCAGTTAGTTATAGCACTGATTAAAACACTTCTCTATACTTTTAAATGTTAAACATGATTTTTTAAAAAAAAAAAAAAACCCACGACACTCTCAATTTAATTTTTGATATTTCATATAACCATTTTCCAAGAAGTTTTACTTTTAGATCCTACCTGAGAGATTCTGCCATCCGCCTTAAGTCTTCATTTTGTTGCTTTAAACGTTCAAGTTTAGCAAGTATCTTGGATAATTCGCGACTAGAGTGATCTGGATGCTCACTGTCTCGTACCAGGTGTCCTCCAATATAAAAGAGTAAAGTTCCCCAAGCAAAGAGGATAAGCATAATCCAACGCCAGGAACCAGTCCATGGCCGCATTTTCAGAAGTTCAATTCACTCCAGAACTGCTTCTGCTCACAAAATAACAAACATTTTAAGTCCTTAGCCTGTACAAAAGTGGACAATTTCAGTTCCTCTGCTTCACCACATTGTATCAGAGAAAAATTATTCTCAGTGTTTTTCTTACTGCAACTCCTTAGAGAAGATCCTTATAGGGCTGTACATAGAAAGCATTAATATCGCATCATTCTTGGTTTATATTCTGTGAAAAGAATAAAAAAATCTGAAATTATAATTCTGATATACAACAATATATTGGATTGCAATTAAGCTAAATGTGTCTATCATAATTCCTGAATGTTAATGACAATAATGTTACTACTTTCTGTCAAGGAGAAAAAGAAAAAAAAGCTTTTAACTTTCCACAATAAATATGCTGAGCTCAAGAATGAACCACATAAATAATACACAATTAATTCTGGGTTTGCAATGGCCAGAAGAAATGCTGCTTTTTGTAAGAGAAATATTTACCAATTTGTGTGTCATTTCACACATTGAAATAGTTCAAAAATTATTCTGTGGTAAACTTAATAGTCTCCTTTACTATTAACAAAGAGCCTTTATTCAATTACAAATTCATCTTTTTTGTCTTCACTTTTATGAACTCTCTTCTCCATTTTTATCATGACTCCCACCCTGTAACAGAAGAGTTATAGCCATTCTAACAATATATTCCACTATTTGCAAGTAGATTGACCTACTAGCAGCTGTAATACCAATTAAGCAACTTGCAAGCACGGCACAGTATAAGCACTAATTTTTAAACAAACAATCCATTGTATATCTTACTCTTAAATTTATAGTGGCCTCTGAAATGTCTATCTAAAATCAAACCCAAAATTTTATTTCTTACTTAAAATAGCAAGACACTTCTTGCTTTACCCTTCCACTGTATGTGCTAAAACAGATAAGAAGAAACACTGAAAATTTAAGAGGTAGAAAAGAGGGGGGTTTCAAGTAGAACCTATGTGGCACTGTTAAATTCACACATTTGAAAATCAGGCATGAGTTTAGAAAGCTAATTTTTTAGAAATATTTTTCTTCTGCTTTAAAACTATCAAACCCCATTTTGACAAGTGTTACTATTAAAACTACAAAAATGCAAAAAAGCTCTAAAGGTAATACCTTCTCTCATCTAAAAAACACTGCATCATTTAAAAAAATGCAAAATCACCTCAACTCATTTTCTACTTGGCAAAACATGACTCAATGACTGTAAGAATCTTCTCATTCTATTTAGAACAGAATTTAAGATTTAACTGAGCAGCACATCCACAATCTTCTAAAGTGCTTCTCGCCTCTTTTCCTCTTGTAATGTAACATTTCCTCTTGTAATGTAACATTTCTATCTTTTGTAAAAGGCATATATATGCCATTTATACTCAATTTCCAAAATAATCTATATTTCCAATTCTCAAATCTGTAAATCTACCATATTTCCTCTGAGATGCTACCCACACCCACATTCTCCCAAATTATTCTTCTCTGTTTAATCCTTCTTTCATCTTTAACTTATTTTTCATTTCATTTAGTTTTTTTATTCTGTTCCAACTAATTTCGAGTTTAGAGAAAAGGCTTCCCAACTTGCAATAACTTCTAAACTCACCCAGTCACAAAGATATGCCTGGAGCACAAACTTCCAGATACTAAATTGCTAACATAGTATTAGAAAATGCTGGAAAATTTTCTCTACTTATTTTGCAGGAGGGTTTTTGTTTGTATATTCTTGAAAGAGGCAAAAAAAATCCACTTAAGACTAGTAAGATGGTACACAAGATAAACTATTTGAAAATTGACTATTACTAATGAAATGGAAAACTTATGTAGTACCTCTCTCAGGCTTTTCCATCTAATGTACCTGTGACAAGGTGAGTTTTAAGTGGACCAGTTTTCTTTGAAAATAATGTCAGAATCCCACATGTCATTTTCTACAGATCTCTAAGAAAGCTTTATATAGCTTTTGCTTTAGCTTGGCAAAAGCGTGGGACTGCCTTCAGGAAGATAGCGGTTTCTTCAACAATCTTTACAGATCACAGCATAAGGAAAAAGAACCCATGTTATACGAAACAGAATAGGCCATGCCCAACCCACGGAGGATCGTTTCTATAAGCGAAGCAAGCCTAGTTACCTGCAGGAATGATTACTATAAAACCCTGATGGACTGAAGTTTAAGGTTTAAGTGGGAAAGTGTATTCTTACATCTATACTACCAATCACCCAGAAAATGATTGACTCTGGCTACAACATACGAAGTGAAATCACAAAGTCTGTGAAGGCAGGGAAAAGAAAAAATAATAGGAGACTTCAAATAATTCCTCTACTGATTGGTTAAATAGTATGCTGGGAATTGTGACGAGAATAAACAGATGCTATGGACATTATAAAATTACTGCTTAAGAGAAAAGCTACTATGAAAAACTCTTGACTTAATCACAAGCAGTTTGCAGATCTTAGATCAAAAAGTTTCTCTGGAGGACCATTTTATAACAGTCTGCATAATATACTCAGATATGATCTCCTTCTAGGAGCAACAAAGAAAAAAAATTCACTACAGCTGTGATGAATTTCAAGAAGAGGAACTATTTTAAAAGAGAAATGGACTCCATGCCACCTGGAAAGATATCATGGTCTTAATTAAAACATCAGGTAAAGGTAACTATTATAATTAGCAAAGAAAGTATCCTTTTAAAAAGTCACAATCATAATCAAATTATTAAATAGATAAGACTCTAAATTCTGGGACATTAAAGACATAAAAATTAATACTAAACCTTTTATCCGAAGACAGCTTACTAGAGACTTTAAGGTCAACAAATGATCAGAGTATATAAGAATTTTTCAGAGTACTTTGCAATGAAAATATGTACAAGTCATCAGGAACAGATGATATTCTTCCAACAGTTCTAAAGAAGTTCAAGAACGCAATAGTTTAATTATTAACAGTAGTATGTAACCTCTCACTTATAATCACCTTGTAGCAAAGGAATGGAAAATGAAAACAGTAAACTGAATTCTTTGCAAGGGCTACAGCAGGGATCCCTGCAACTATAGGCCAGGAAAAAAATTACATTCATGTCAGGCAAACTGGCAGAAATAGTAATGGGATTAAATAGAACTGCAGACATAAGGATGAATGTAATCAAAGTGTACTAACATAGCTTTTGGAAAGAGAAATTGTGCCTCATACATTTATTAAAGTCCTCCTGAAGATGTAAACAAACGCCCAGGCAAGAGAGAACCAGTTCTAATTGTTATGGAGTTCATCTAATCAATATGGATTCCCAAATGGCATTCAACAAGGTCCTCAAAATGTTTCAAAGAAACTAAGCTGCATGGAAGAAGAAAGTTCATCGTATGAGTCACCACCCTGTTAAAAGAGAAGAAACTTACAGTAAGACTAGGCAATCAGTTTCTAAGTGGAATGAATGATCAGGGACCTCACTGGGACTCATGGTAGAGTTCATACAGTTTAATATATTCATAAGTGATTTGGAAAACAAGGTGGAAAGTGAGGTAACAAAGTCTGCACATATTATACAAAAGTTGACTGCAATGAAGAACATCAAGACTCTGTCTAATGAAGAAATAAAATGAAAGATGAAAAATCAGTTTATATCAGTGTGTAGAGTTATAGATGATCTTTGAATCACTATCCCTCAGGAATGGACTTCAGCTGTAATAGGTGATTCTGTAAAATATCAGCTCAGCATTGGCCAAAAAGCAACCAAGTCCTCACAGGTTTAAAAACAAACAAACAAAAAAAAAAACCCCACAAACCCAAGAACCTCCCCCCCTAAAAAAAACCAACAGAAATAATTATCATTATGTCACTGCATTAAAACACTGGGTCAGGACTTTGATTACTTCGTATCATTCCGATTCAACCAACTCAAGAAGACATGGTAGAAATAGAAATGATACCGAAAAGGGTTACAAAAATTAGCAGAGAGAGAGAATGGCCTTCAGTAACAAATAGTGGCTGAACAGATTAGTAGAAAGGACAACTCAGGAATTAACATGGCAAATCTATAAAAATCATTAATGGTATAAGAAAGTAAACAAGGTATAATTGTTTGTTGTTTCTTCTGGCACAAGGGCATAACGAGTAAAACTTTCTGGTTGAACAGATTCAAAACAAAAGAAGGTATTTCTCAAGATGCACAATTCCAGCATGAAACTCATTTTGATCAAACACTGTAGGTATTAAAAGTTTACACTTCAAAGGCCATTAGACCATCAAAGGCTACCCACAAAGATTCACCCAATACTCTCCGAATCCCAAGCCACATATTGTTGGAAACCAGAGAATATACCGGGGCAGTATCACCATAGTATCCTGGTTCTTGCAGTTTTCCCTGGACATCCACTGCTAGCCAGTCTGAGAGATACATCAGGCTAGATACGTTGTACATCTCAAGCAATTAATGGTGTACAGTAATTATTTTCAGGTACATTGTTCCTGTAGCACCTTCATATTGCTTTTACACAAGTGATTTTAAAGTACCCACACTTTGAATTTAGCTTTCTTTAATAGTAAACCTGTTTTTTCTTCCCAAAAATAAAATTATGTCTAAAACAATTAATGGACTTAATATTTTAAACAACAGAGTTCTGAAACTACTCAAACATTTTATAGAATATGCAAAGATAGCATGTTTTATCTGATTTCTATGAATCTCTGATGATGTCATTGGTCTTTTTATAAGTTAGATCACAGTACAGTTAAATATCGAATAAAGATGCCAAACTATCTGAACAAATAGGAAGAACATTCTGAACTAACATTAAACAGTCAGCCTGTATCTCAAAAAGTGGTATATCTAATTATACCTGAGTTCTAACTACTCTTAACTATTTGCTTTGTACTGTAATGTGCCTTTTACATTTTTTCCTCAATTTCATACTGTTCTGGGAATGCAAAATGTCAAAGTATTTCAGTATTTCAAAGCCCATACAAGACCTTTAAATAAAATAAATTA